CGACGATGATGGCGATGTCGATGAGGATGTCGATGAGGATGTCGATGAGGACGTCGATGAGGATGAGGGGTCCCGTCTCCAGCGCTTGAAGTTACGCGCGCGTGGGTGGCGCCGCTGTTCTGTCTTTTCTCCTCTAGATCAGGGAACGGTGCAGAAGCTGATCGTCCTTCCCAAAGACGACGCCGAAAGCAAAGAGGAGATCGTGCTCGAGGAGCTCCAGGTGTTCCAGGTGCGGACACATCTCAACACTTTCCGATCACCCAGATTGAAAACTCATTTCTTTTCGGGCTGCTTTTTGTGCTTGGTTTTCCTCCCCCCGCGCCCCCGACGAGCACGGATGGCTACGTACGGTGTGAAAGAAGGTCAACATACATTCGTACAGCACACACGCTACGCGTCGGCTGTTGAACGTTCACGGTTACTCCAGAGTATATTTGCTTTAACGCATTCATTGTGCCTCTTCCAGGATCCAGTGCCGATCTTATCAATGAAGATCTCATCCAAAAGAGTAAGTGTGTACCAGGCATCTTGAATGATTTCGCCAAGACTTTAAGGGTGTCCGCTTGTGATCGCGGCGTTAATGTCGTGTTTTAAATACTCGTTGGGTGGAGCCAGCCCCAATGCATTTAAATCTAATCCAGTCGTTTAACTTCATCCACAACACTGGAATGCATTTAGCTTACAGACCCACTTATCTTACGCTCACACCACTCCATCACGTTCGTGCGCGGTTATCTCTACTCCAGCGAGCCTGCTCGTGCGTTCTCCGCCAACTGCTGTACGCCATCCCGAGCCCCCCTTTCCGCGTCTCTTGACCCCCGCAGCAACAGCTGTACGTGAGCTCGGCCGTGGGCGTGACGCAGCTGCCGCTGCACCGCTGCGGCGTGTACGGCAAGGCGTGCGCCGACTGCTGTCTGGCGAGGGACCCCTACTGCGCCTGGGACGGGAAGCAGTGCTCCAAGTACTTCCCCACCGCCAAGAGGTGCGTTGCCGCCGCCATCACAGCAGCGGCAGCGCCCGTCGCTGCTGCTGCTGCTGTGGGCCCTCCTGTTGTCATTTTCGTCTCGCGTCAAAAACCTTTTTATTTTTTTTTCCCTGCTGAGGCCCACTGAGCTACGTTAGCTGTTTTTCAGAAGCCGCCACCTGGCTGTCAGAAGTGATAGCTCAACGAGGTGGCCGAATATTCTGAACACGTGACGTTGATTCTGAACGTGGATGGAAAAAACGGGAAGACCCGGAGAAAAATCCACGCGGCCATGGGGAGAGAGACACGCAAACTCCAAATATACAGCAGCAGCAGGCATCCGGGTCGAACACACGACCTCCTGTACACCAGGCGAGGTAGTTAACATCTCACCACCGTGATGATGATGATGAGAGAAAGATAGACACGAGAGAGAGAAATGCAAACTCCAAATATACAGCAGCAGCAGCAGCAGGCGTCAGGGTCGAACCCACGACCTCCTGTACACCAAGCGAGGTAGTTAACATCTCACCACCGTGGCGCATCGCTTGATGTCGCACCTCACGCTTCCCGAAGAATTAGGAAGCGCAATGGAACAGAGCCCTGTGCAGAGGGAGCTGCTGCGGGTTGCGATGGTTATTGTGCTTGACTTGCAATCAAATGCCCCCTTGAGCGTGCTCTGGTTGAGGCCCTTTAGTTTGCAGTGGCGTGAGCAAGCGGTTGCAGCGCTGCGCATTTACCTTTGTCGCACGCACATAGCACGCATCAAGTGAGAATTCTCTGTGGAGGAATGGAGCAATTGGGCAATCGTCGAACCAGCTTTCATTCGTATTCACCCATCGCTTAACAAATCTGGTCCTTGAAAATTGTGTTCTGTTAAACGTGCCTTTCTCCTACGATGTCGCCGCGAACCGCAGCTCGTGTCATTCGGCGCGATGGCCGATGTTTGGCTCCCGTGTGCTGCGAGCTTCGTGTGCTCGCGACTCGCTGCACACGTGTGCGTTATAAATCGGACTTCCTCTACCCGAGGCAGCAGTTTTAACAGCCAGAATGATAATCTATATACAAGAAGAGCAAAAACATAATGGCAATCCCAGCACTCTGCGCGTGCCAAGATGGCATCACCGTTCTTGTGATGGCCATGCTGCTCAGATCCCGGTTATGATGGGTCGCCGCGTTGGCGAGATGTTAACTTCCTCGCCTGGTATGCAGGAGGTCGTGGGTTCGATCCCGACCTTGACACCTGCTGTGTATTTGGAGTTTGCGTGTCTCTCTCTCATCATCACAGTGGCGAGATGTTAACTACCTCGCCTGGTGTGCAGGAGGTCGTGGGTTCGATCCCGACCTTGACACCTGCTGTGTATTTGGAGTTTGCGTGTCTCTCTCCTTGTAGTCGCGTGGATTTTTCTCCGGGTCCTCTGGTTTTTTCCTCCACATTTTGAAATGTGCGTTTAGAGTATTTGCCTGCAAACATTTCCACGCGATAAGCTACTTCGTTGAACTATCGTTTGTGAAAGCCAGGTCGCTCATGAAAAAGAGCTATACAGCTCGGTAGGCCTTACCGGGTAAAATAAAAAAAATTGTTTCGTTTTTTAGTTTATGTTTGGGGCTGCTTTAGACACCTCTTTTATTGATAATCACCGAATACAACCGAATACAATTTCACCGAAAAGTTTTATTTTGAATGCTCTTCATCCTTAAACACTTTGTGAATCTGACATGACTTTTAATAGTTCTGTTATGTTATAGAGAGGTCGTAGTAAATGTCCTAACTTGACAGTACGAGTGGCATATTATTAATTGGAGTTTGAACATTGTGTTGTGAATTTTTTTTAACTTTGAAATACCAATTATCATAAATGTCTACACCCGACTTTTTGATGCAATGATTTCATCCGTTTGGTTCTGGATGTAATTCGCATTGTCACAGTTTTACACACCATGTACACACACATTGTCACAGTTTTACACACCATGTACACACACATTGTCACAGTTTTACACACCATGTACACACACATCGTCTCACAGTTTTACACACCATGTACACACAGATTGTCACAGTTTTACACACCATGTACACAAAGATTGTCACAGTTTTACACACCATGTACACACACATTGTCACAGTTTTACACACCATGTACACACACATTGTCACAGTTTTACACACCATGTACACACACATTGTCACAGTTTTACACACCATGTACACACACATTGTCACAGTTTTACACACCATGTGCACACACATTGTCACAGTTTTACACACCATGTACACACATTGTCACAGTTTTACACACCATGTACACGTGCCTGAGGTAGAGCTGCGTCCTGCAATAATACGGATTCCACACAGGAGGGCGCACGTGTCCCACGTAGCCACCGTGTGTCCGCTCAACTCGCCTTCTGTCAGTCACGTGACCCCCTGCTGTCTGTCGTGTGATCTCCTGCTGTCTGTCGTGTGATCTCCAGCTGTCTGTCGTGTGATCTCCTGCTGTCTGTCGTGTGATCTCCAGCTGTCTGTCGTGTGATCTCCTGCTGTGTCTGTCGTGTGATCTCCTGCTGTCTGTCGTGTGATCTCCTGCTGTCTGTCGTGTGATCTCCTGCTGTCTGTCGTGTGATCTCCTGCTGTCTGTCGTGTGATCTCCTGCTGTGTCTGTCGTGTGATCTCCTGCTGTCTGTCGTGTGATCTCCTGCTGTCTGTCGTGTGATCTCCTGCTGTCTGTCGTGTGATCTCCTGCTGTCTGTGGTGTGATCTCCTGCTGTCTGTCGTGTGATCTCCTGCTGTCTGTCGTGTGATCTCCTGCTGTCTGTTGTGTGATCTCCTGCTGTCTGTCGTGTGATCTCCTGCTGTCTGTCGTGTGATCTCCTGCTGTCTGTCGTGTGATCTCCTGATGTCTGTCGTGTGATCTCCTGCTGTCTGTCGTGTGATCTCCTGCTGTCTGTCGTGTGATCTCCTGCTGTGTCCGTTGTGTGATCTCATGATCTCCTGCGGTCTGTCGTGTGATCTCCTGATGTCTGTTGTGTGATCTCCTGATGTCTGTCGCGTGATCTCCTGCTGTCTGTCGCGTGGTCTACTACTGTGTCTGTCGTGTGGTCTCCTGCTGTCTTTTGTGTGATCTACTGCTGTTTGTTTCATAATCTCCTGCTGTCTGTTGTGTGATCTCCTGCTGTCTGTTTCATGATCTCCTGCTGTCTGTCGTGTGATCTCACAGACGCAGCCGCAGGCAGGACATCCGGCACGGGAACCCCGTCACGCAGTGCCGTGGCTTCAATGGAAACCGTGAGTTACTACTTCTACCCCTGAGGCATAACCAGATATTTTTGAAGGAAACTTTATAGTCATCATGGAGTTACATGGCGAGGACTTTTACACACAATGCCTGAGCCTTCTCGGCACAGGCAAGTCGTCTATGGGCTAGGTATTAACATGACGATGAACAGTGGCTATTTTGTTTCATTGACTGTGCTGCCATTCACGTGAAAGGCCATTGAGACTCTGCGCTGCATCAGCCACAGTAACATTTTTCCCAAATCCATCAACTTGGTGATTTTGCTCCCACGGAGGCATCGGCAAATAAAAGGTTGACACTGATTATATTATTCGCCAAAATGTGACGAGAGCCCCATATTTCTTGCAAGGGACACCTGTACAACAGTAGCTTTCATGCTTCAGTTGGTGTCATATTTTATCTGCAGGCAATTTCTGAACCCTGATATGAGCTTCAACAAGTAGAAGGCTACCTCTTGTATTGGATGTCACAGGTTCTTTTGCATCTAAACGCAGCAGACTTTTTACATTGGTTTATCTCCCATGGCATGCGCAGCCTATGTATACATACTGTGAACATCTTGTTCAGTGAAATCGTGTACAAAATTTACTTCGTTTTTTATTACTTATCCAAATTTCTTGATTGGAATTATCGATTTGTAAATACAGCACGCTTTGTTAATGCGATAACGTATCCTATTTTCTGGTGAAAGTATCAGGGAAATCTAGAAATACCTGACATGGAATCCACGGAGGCAATGTTAGCATTATGCGGAGTGACATTGTTTGTGAATATTTAAACAGCATTCGGAGAAAGAGATTGAAATGTACATCAATTTGTTATTTTAAAGCGAAATAGGATTGGCACCAAACCTTGTTATGTATATGAATTACCTCTGATAACAATATTTATATTGTGCAAAACTATTTCAGGATTTTAAATACCAAGTTAATCTTAACTCGAACCCTATTCATACACCCCAAGGTATACGGTATAATTGTTTGTTTTCTAAACTGTTAATCTGTGCTGCTAACTACTCGCAGCTCCGTTGTTCACCTGTGCATTCTCATTCTTTGTGAGCGGAGGCACGATATCAAGTCTTCAGATGATGACCACTACACACAAAGTGCTTGCCACAAATGAACCACAACACCTCGCAGAGGCTTTTGGCTAACCGTCGAACAAAGCCGGTCACAGCATCGCGCGCTTTCAGATGCGCTTCTGCAACCGTCTGGAACGCTCTTCCTTCCGATATTAGGAAGCCACTGGAGAAGTGCACTTTTAGGTCATCCTCTAGATTGAAAACTCATTGCTTTAGAACTGCTTTTTGTGTTCAGTTTGTTGTCCTTCCCCCCGCACCCCCGATTAGCGCGGTCGTCTCCGTACGGCGCGAAAGAAGTTCGACACAAAGATCAAAGATCCCCCATATAGCCTTAACAGACTGTAGGGGCAAGTGCTGTTAGCGAGCACCTATGAAGGCCGGAACGGTACACGAGGGGGTGGGTGGCCAACACCACGCCCGACCGCGTTTATCTCCCTAGTGGCGATGTTTACACACCGCACCAGGTACTCATTTGAGGCTGAGTCGACCTAGGGGAGGCCCGGGACCGGTTCAGATAATCGTCACTGGTGTTGTCCGTGAGCGGGAATGGAACCCGGGTCGCCAGGTTCATAGCCCAGCGCGCTAACTGCTACACTATCACACACGCACACGCACACGCGTGACGCTGCTGATGTCCGTGCAGTGTACAAGCGGCTGCCGGAAGTGGTCCAGTTCGCCGTGGAGGGCAGCAGCACCTTCATGGAGTGCGGCGCTCGCTCTCCTCAAGCCGTCGTCAAGTGGCTGGTGCAGCGCCTCGACAGCGATCGCCGCAAGGAGGTGACGCCGCTTGACATTCTGCTCCCCTCGTGCGACGCGCGCGCTGCACCTGCTGGTGGCGCTGCACGCCCGCGATTAGCGTGGTTGGCTGCGTGCGGTGCGAAGGAAGTTCAACGTGCGTGTACGCCGGCGGTGCTGCACGGCTGCAGTCCACGCGGCGGGGAGGATTGGCGGATCGCGCCGAGTCTGCACGAGCAGGGTCAAAGGCAGGATTAGGAAGCTGGACGACGCGGGGCATCTTTACAAAACACGAACCGCGAGCTTCGAATTCCAATTGAGATTTGAGCAACGCACGTTGCCGAAGAGGTGCCCGTTGTGCTCTAAGAGCCTTTCATCACCAACGTTATCACCATTGCGAGCTCAAGAAACGTTATTCGTTGATGGAGCGATGCATACTTCCTATCAATCCACACGATGACTTAAGTTAATCATTCACACAGCCTCCTTTTTTGGACATACACATACAGAGCAGCTGAGATGGTAAAATAGCCACTGGTTTTCTAAATATTCTCAATTACGAACTGGATTTTAGATTCTTCTAAAAAAAAAAATTCGGGACTACACAAAAATCAACCCAAAAAATGTTGCTGCATCTGAACATTCGGCTCGGGCATTGTAACTGCGGCACGCGTAGCCGTGAGCTGCCGGGGGGGGTAGCCTCTGAGGCCGCGAGGGAAGCTCGTGGGTGAAGAGTCTTGCCGTGAGGGGAACGCTTCTTTATCGAGCAGTCCCTCGTATATACCCCCCCCCCACCCCCCCGACGACAGTAATTGACAGTAGGATTAACAGCGAGAGCAGGGGAGAAACACGTACAGAAAAGGACGGCTTAGTTTGAATGATCACGCTGTCACTGGTGTCCAGACAGCCCAGAGAACTTGATATTTGGCAGCAAGTTGTAATTTCAACCCCTCCGCCATTACACGTCCATTCTTTAAAACCGTCCGCCGACCACACCTGCCTCGAGGAATTTGAAAAATGCGTGGCATATCGCTTACTCTGGCGAAAGAGAGCCACGAGCTGGACACAGTCTATCTGTCCTTGTCAGCCGATGTTTATTAAGCAAGATACATCTGTCGATGAGTGTACGTAGAAATGTGAATTCCGTTTGTCCCATTACCAGTACAATTGGCTGTTCTCTATGGATGCGAAACCGGGCTAGAGAGCGTGCCATCACTGTCCATCCTTGCTCTCCCCCCCCCCCCCCCCGCCGCCGTTGACAGGTGAAGCCAAGCGAGCGGTTGGCTCGAACCGAACACGGCCTGCTGATCCGGGCGGTGCAGCGCTCCGACGCTGGCATGTACCACTGCCTGGCCACGGAGAACGGCTTCCGGCACACGCTGGGCCGCTACACCGTGCGGGTGCTGGACAGCGGCCTGGTCGGCGGGCTGCTCACGGGGGCCGCCGTTGGCACCGACCCCAGCGGCACCCCCCTGAGCCAGCAGAGCCCCGCGCAGAAGCAGGCCTACAAGGAGCTGATGGAGCTGCTGGGCCAGTCACGATCGAGTCCGACCGGATACCAGTGCCCCGGCACGCACCAGCCCGCGCCGCAGGCTAAGCAGCAGCAGCCGGCGGCGGCGGCGGCACCGCCGGCGCCGTTAGCGCAGCGGCAGCCTCAAGCGCAGCCGCAGGCGCAGCCGCAGAGCCACAAGCCAAAGGCTGCACCCAACCCGACCGCCACCAAGCACAAGCCGGCGTCCAAGGAAGAGTTGAAGCTGCGGAACCGACGCAACCCACATGCAGTTGCTGCAGGCTAGAGGGAACCCCGCGGGACCTCACGTGTAACGCTTCTTCACTTTCTGTTTGCCAAATGTTCTCGTTTCTGTTGCTCGTTCATTACAGACTCCCCTACAACAACAACAACATCGAAAGAGGTTGGTTTTGGTTTTCTGGGTAGAAGCGCTGCAGCCTGGCTGTCGTAGCTCGCACGTCTCGGCTGTTTCCCCGAGAATCGAGATGCTAACTTTTACAGACGTCGCGTGTACCCCACTGCGGGGACGTCCTCTGCTCCGGCGTCGGTGAGAGCGCCGTTGGAATTGCGAAGCATCACGAAGGCGCCGCTAAGATTCTCCATTCCGCGCTTTTGTTGTTGTATTTTTTTCAGAGTGCTAGCAATTATAGCTGTCTTGCACCATTAAGCTTACAAGCCTCCAATTCACATACCATCAGGAAGAGACGGGCTGAGCATGCTGTGCTGCTCCTGTCTGCGGCCAAAGCATTACACGTCTAACTAATTCAGTATTTAATAGAGGCTGTATATAGTGTGATTTATTTTTTGTGGGTGTGTTTGTTTCTGTTATTTTATATATATTCTCACTAGTTCCTGCTGTCAGAAGGTTTGGTTAATGTGTACAATATTGCAGAGAGTATCTATAGGGCCAAGCTTTTAAGAGTTTTTTTATATATATTTCTAATTTAAGAGCATTATACAAATGTACTTATATTGATAAGAACCCCCTTCTTAGAAAGTAGAGCTCTCTGGAAAGCATGAAATAAACCGGATTTTTGTTTAAAATAAAACTGTGAAAAACTCAATCTCGAAATCACACAACTTTAATAAAACTGTTGGCGCTAGATAGCAGCAGCTGTTCAAAATCAGAGCCCTCTATTTTGCGGACAAGAAACCCCCAAGTAAGAAGGAGTGAACTGCAAGGTTACATTTGTGGGATTTGTACAGAGGACGCAATATTGCATGAAGACAAGACGAGGGGGGAGCGGGGAGCGTGTGTGAAACGTGCAGTCTTTTTAGCCGAGGAAATGTGGTTTACGATTCACAAGGGCAGCTCCACGTTTGCTTTCCGAGCGATCGAGGGAGCCTTGGTGAGATGCTAGCTTTAGACTGGGATATATTGTATTGTTTCCCTTCAACGTGACTTTACCGAAAGAACCAAGAATATGAACCACTGCAGTCACGAAAGCTTTAAATCAAAATTTAGACTGGGATAGTTTGACCAGAGCTAGACAAACTATATCTTATTTTCACATACGATGCTTAATCAACACCATTCTTAGGGGGGGGGACCGTATTTCACTCCGTAACCAAACCATACACCAGCTCTGTTGCTAATGTGATTGGGTTAACAACTTTGTACTGCGCGACAGCCACCCGTTTAGGCGGTGCACAGTTCGTTTAATTAAGTCAAAAGTTGCAAGAAAAAAGGAAAGAAATGGTCACGTGTGTTAGACACTTGTCCGGAATCGCAGTAACAGTGCAACAGGAACAAGCAGGCTCAGCGTGATCGTTAAAGAACCATGTGTTTTGTCATTTAGATTAATAAAATCGTCATTTGACGTTTTTTTGTAAGGATGAATATGTTGCTGCGGGTAAGGAATAGGGACGAGTTTGTAGTGTGATCGCTGTGTGAGCTTTCAATGACGTCCCGGTCAAATAATGTTGTCCCACACATAGACAGTTGATCCATTATCAAAACTACTCTAAATATATCGAACGAAACACATTTTTACCTACGTGACTACACAAGTTACCGATGGATTGTAGATAACATGGAATAAGCTGTTACGATTGTATGTTTTTTTTATTACGATTAGCAACAATAAAGCTGTAATGTGTCGAATAAAATGTTGATATTAACATTTTTACACGTGGGAGTACGAGGTTGTGTTACGTGCAGCGAGTTTTGCCGATATTGTCCACGATTTTTCGACTCAGGTGGCATGTGGTTACAAAATAAGCGAGGTCAATGACGTTGGGTTAGGTGTACGCGTTGGGAGAGGATCGGCCTAGACTCGGGCCCCTGTCAAGTGCCCTTCAGCCTGGAGGATTCAAAAAGGGGGGTAGCGTTGGCAGTGGTCGGTGCCCTGCGCCACGTGACTGTTGATTCCTGGTCACGGCTCAAATTGGCGGCGAGCGATAGATATCCGTGCGCCCCCTTCCACCAACCCGCAGCTCGCCGGCGTGGTGAAGTACGGTCTCACGAACCCCACGATTGTCACGGCGCCCAGCGAGGCCTTCATCCATCAGTGCAATGACAGTTGTTGTTGCTTGTTTTTTCTATCGATACAAATGGAGAGGGTTGTCTGATGGCAGGTGGTGTGTTGCTATTCCCTAGTAAACAATAGTGTGCTTCATTGCAGGTGTCTGTAACGAGCGTTCGCAGATGTCTGCACACGTGACGCGTATTGGTGTATTTTAGCTCTGCGCGGTACATTATCAATGGAATGGGAAGTATAAAACCATTATGATAAGGTACCTTTATACGACAGCTTTCATCATTTGAGTTCATAACAATTCAAATAAGCAGCACCATTCAAGTTATTGATAACGGAGCAGTATATGAAATTAAAGTATATCACATTTTCAGTTAAGAAACGTGAATCAGCTGTTATATTTGTGTTTGTATTATCAAGTATGTAGATGATGTATCTTTAAATTACTTAATACTTTCAGCTGACAGTAAATCTTACTCCAAAAACCGTATTACTGCGTGCTGTTAAAATATGTTGAATTTCCTCAAGCAGTACTACCTAAGAAAGACAAGCCTATGGCCGAGATACATTGATCACTGGAAGCAATGCCACTTTAAAATGTGCCTGACATGCATTGAGTAATTGTCATCAACCGCAGTGAATAACGAAGGGAATGTTCGGAGTAGTTTGTGCGAGGTCCCATCTCCGAGACAGTGAGAGGCATTTCTAAAAGCTCTGCTAACATGTTTGGAGATCCTACAGTTTGCCCAAACCCATAAAATACAATACTACACTTGTTACAGGAGTTATACATCCTCTAAATATGACTGCAGCCAATCCAAGCAGTGTGTGATCATAATTTGCTTGGGTCTCTATGCTCAATGTCTTGTATACATTTATGGTAAATAAAAAAAACACGTTATTTGATGCATCGAAGGTCATGGAATTGGCATCGTTACTCTGAAAAGTGCAATGTCTCTGGGCCTCATTCGCTCCATGAACTAGCTACCTGCCCACCAACACCTAAGCGTCGCAGCTTTTGGCCCCAACTGACGTTACATGCTTCCACATATTACCTGGTGCCCGTTTTAGTTCTCTCTCTCACTTGGCGACGTCGAGCTAACGTACGGTGTTGCGAGGGTGCAGCACAAATTCGTTTTGTTCACGAGATGTCCCCACTCGGGATTTTGAATTCTGCATTGTGGCAGTTCACCGTGCCAGCCAGCGCGCGCACGTGAACGCAGCTGTTGCCGTCTGCGGAGGTCGGGGACGTGTAGAGAGCACGGACCAGGCACATTGATCCCGTGACCACAGTGTCCGCGCGCACTCCCTCTGGTTCAAGGTGTTGGTTGGGGGGGGGGGGGTTTGCAATCCCTTTGTCAATATTGGATTATCCTTAAACAAACATCGACCCCGCCGCACTTCTGGAAACTGCAGAGAGTGCACAAATGCCACTGTAAAGGCGACACGGGCGTGCAGGGTGGTCCATTTACACATACCCCGCTCATATAATCGGGAGAAACTATACGATTGTAGACTGCGATCGAGGGCTGGCATTCTGTGCGAGCCAACACATCATCAGTTCCTTTACGAGCTTTGCTCTGTTGTTAACTTTTTTTTAAATGGGAATTATAAACCAAATTTCCTTGAGAGCCACCGACCCACGAATCTCCCTCCACCCGTGCTTACCACACCACCACCTTCCTTCCCCGTTTCTGTAAAAAAAAAGAACACGGAGCCATCTCTTTAACAGCATCCCTTCAATCCGCCTGCCGAGACGAGAGGAAGAGTCGAGGGGAGGAGGAGGGGCTATTTAGAAACCAGTGGGGTGTCTGTAAGTGGATCACGTGCGCAGGCTGGCCCAGCTGTGCCCACCACTGGCCCCACAAACCACGTGGCGTGACGAGGGGCTCCTCCCGTAGATGGCCGCCTGACTGTGACGCTCCCTCGTGACCACGGTGTGCGGAGAGCAACACGTTGCTGTACATTTCACTGTGCTTGTGCGTGCTGTCGATTTTTAGTGTTCTGGGTGGTGTTTTTTTTAAAGGCTTGTGTATAAATAGTTTGTGGAGTCCGAACAGGACTTGTGGCGTGTGTGTGTGTGACAGACGTGTGTGCAAATCGCTCCGAATGCTACTTTTTTCGGAGCCAGAAGGTTGCAAACACCATATATCTAACTCATGTAATCGCGGTATTCGCATTTATCAAAGTGTTTCGAAAGGGCAGGCAACGGGAGCACACCGTGTATAAGTTCCGTGCTACAGCTACCTGTGTGTGTATATTGTAAGTGATATTGGCGAAGAGCTCGTGGGTGTCTGTGCAGATGTTTCTCAGAGCCTGCCGCAGTCTCGCCAACGATGTCATTGCTTCTCAAGCCTCGTTTTGGGTGTTGTTGAATATTTGCATTGAAAGAAGAGGGCGGGGGAGGGAGGGGGGGGCTGAGCACAAATTACGAAGTAAAAAAAAGTGACAATACGATTTGTGGAGAAGAGGAGCAGTGGTTGAGTATTAAGGACACACTTTGAGGCAAACGCAAAACCGGCAACGATGCGCAGCCGCAATGAACATGATAACCTCATGACGGTACCCCGGGGTGTACCATAGTAGCCCGGCTCTCGCACAATGTCCGTGATGCAGTCATTTTTAGTCTGCTGATGGTCGGCGATGCGGCAGTCGACTCCTCTCGACGAGCCGTACACGATGCACTATTCACAGTTTAAATTTTCGATAACGGATTTTGTGATGCCAATGTTTGGCGTTTCGACATCGCGGAGTGGCGCTGATTTCGGATTGATTGGTACCACAGTCACGGAGTGAAGTAACACCCCTGGAAAAAATAGTGTCCCAGAAATAAAATATTTAATTGCCTCGGACATTTAGTATTATTTGGTGCCCCGGGTTACCGCCATAAGGATTAGTTGCTAAAAGGTATGACTACGTGATTCACCGTAGAGGGTGTTTTAAAGTAAAGAGTGCATTCATATTGTTTTATTATGTGGTGAGGTAATAATGTCCAGTGAGGGGGAAGTCGTTTTAATTAGTTCACGTATGCGGTAGTGTACTGCATGGGGAGCGGTAGTGTAGGGGTTAGCGTGCTGTGCTTCGAACCCGGCGACCCGGGATCGATTCCCACTCACGGTCGACACCAGTGACGATGATCTGAACCGGTCCTGGGCCTCTCCTAGGTCGACTCAGTCTCAAATTAGTAACTGGGTGCGGTGTGTCGTTTCCACTGGGGAGACAAAGGCGGTTGGGCGTGGGGCTGGCCACCCACCCCCTCGTGTGCCGTGCCAGCCTTCATAGGTGCTACTCGCTAACAGCACTTGCCCCACAAGTCTGCTCAGACTATACGGGGGATCTTTGTCATTGGAGTGGTGCCATCAGTGAAGTGCTCACGTTAATGTAACATCACTTGACTGCAGCGAAACGTATTAACCTGGACTAAGATGAACATTTGTCCTAAAGCCCTCACGACATTCCACGTCTCCCCGACGAGAGATTCGGTTTTTTTTTGTTTCACCTAACGGGTTATCGTCATCTTCTCGCGTTAAAAGTATTTTTTTTTAATTCGCCGTGCATTTTCGTTCGCGTTAAAAGTTTCAACGTCTGTCAACGAAATTGGGATCCGTGCTGTACAGCTAAATAATTCAATCACCACTTTCATTTGGCCAATGTCAAGTGGTGCGCCGTCTTTTTCCACAAATTGTCACCTGGCCTAACCCAAAAAATACAAGTACGATTTAGGCTTCCGGGAAAATGTGTCCATTCCGTTTTTGAGACAATTTCCTGCACGATCATTGCAGGTCACCGCATCTGTACACTGAGGGGCTATCCAACACTGGTGCGGGCGTCCACAGGCCCTGAGCAACCGACCCTTCTCCCTTCACGTTGTCTCCATTGCATCGTTAATTACCAACGTAGCAGATCGAGTATTATGGGGGTGGGGGGGTGGTCCTCCACAGCTCTAATTTTCCTCCTAATTATAATTTCTCACAGTGGTAACTAACCCATTTTGGCTGCATATGCGCCGTAGGTATTCACGTGCGCCAGCAGCAGCTTCCGTTATGCATTCGCGCTCCCGTTAACCGTGCCGCACGTATCGGTCGAGTTGGGGGAATGGTGTAAAATGCATAACCCGCTGACCTTTTTCACTTCAGGCAAAGGTCACGGTGCCGAGTGGTGCAAGCCAACTTGGGTGTTTGTAGCCGCCACGTACAAGCGTGCGTGTGTACTCATTCTGCGCTCCTGAGTATATCCAAGCATGTACAAGCACACACCGTACTGGATACATGCCCATCTGAGTAGATGCGGTATGATGCGCCAGCGCTCACGCTCACACATTCAGTACGCAATGTCTCCACTTCGCGAGAATGGACTGCGGTGTATTCTGAATGGGGTACACAGCGTGACGTATTCTCAGCTCCGAGTGCACGACCTTACCGGCTTGCTACTTGGATTTCCCCGCTCCCTCCTCTTCGCCCCCTTTGAGTTTGTTTTTTGGATTGGAGTTTTCCATGGATCGATTTTTTAATAAATCAATCCATTAAATCAATACAGCAGAACTCCTCTGATCCACGAAGTCCGTGAAAGACATCGCGGATAATAGGATCCGCAATGCCCGCCCCCTACATCGGCGCCGATAAAGAGTTGTGCTTCACGCGACTTCAACACTCAACACAATGCTCAAATAATTACCAGCGCTGGCGCAGTGTACGTGTACAGATGTTAACACGCATGTGAAATATGTGAGTGCCTGTGTGTGTGTGTGTTGTTGGCCTAAAGGTGCACATGGCCTGGCACAAGCGTCGTGGTGACGTCACCACCACTTAGTGGCGAATGGTGGTTGTTGTTGTTGAAGTGCATTCAACTGTTTATGGACAAGCAAACACAACATTTATGATAGAGCTTAAACAAAAACACGGGACATAACCACTGGTAGGCGATGCGGGTTCCAGCTCGTTTTGGCTGGGCTCCGGCCGAGTTTGACACCACATTTGCTCATGTTTCCATAACAAGTGTCTAACCGATCAACCTTTCTGCATTGCGTAGCTGCAACGAGCGGCTGAGCGCGCGCCTGCAAGGCAGCGTAACCGGATAGCTGCTTTAACACATAAGTAGGCTTTCGCGACCGTTATTATCCATGGGTGTAGGGGTTTTTGGGGGTCAGGTCGCGTCAGTGGATCGTGGTGTTTGCGCGCTGAGAGCAACAGCGCCTTTGGTGGACGACGGGGGATGGACGACGTTGGCGCTCGACCGAGATCAGAAGAACATGGGAACAGCGGCCAACGGGGAGAGACAGACCCCCCCCCCCGCACGCTCACGGAAAAATGTCATTGAATTGGCGTTACTTGCGTGCCTCCCTTTAAAATGAACCACACCAACATTCGCATATTTCATAGTTTAGCCGAATCGTTTTATACGTTTGTTTTTTTGTAATGGGGTGCAACCGTGCGTTTTCGTGTTTATTTCAAAAGTGATGTCCGTGTTTGGAAAGCAATGTATGTATATTCAAAGGGTGCTTTTAAACAACAACAACAAAAAGCATCACCACTTCTTATTCTGTAGTGTTGCATCAAATCATTCTTATTATATCTAAAAATAGACATTCCCCGAGGACCGAGATTGTTCGACGTTTTCAGATCATGACGCACCGAAAGTGGTCACGTCTTTGAGCTGTGATTCTGCAATCTGACATCATCTGTTGGTCCCACTATTATCGCATTTCGTGTCAAACGCATCTGCTTTGCTATGTCGTGGAAACAAAAGTGGTAGAAGGTTTATGGTGATGACGAGCATTCAAAAGTACCACTCCTCGTGTGTGTATTAGCACTGTTTAACACGTAGCAGGTTTTGGCGACCAATATTATCCACAATCGATGTTGTTTTAGGTTAGATCGCATGCATACGAATGCGTCGTTAAACCCGCCACCACCCGACACAGCCATTTAGTGAGGTTGATCACGTAAATAAAATGAGCCAATTCTTTACTAGTACAGCGCACCGGTGTATTGGAGAGTAAACCCACAATTGTAAATGTTGGGTGGTGGCGGGTTTAACGACACATTTATTTTTACGCGATCTAACCCAAAAAACATCAATTGTGGATGTATTAGCACTGTTGTTATTATTATTGTAGTCTCTCCCCTTAAAGTAGCCCTATAAGAGTGGACATTAGTAAGTACTAAGGGGTATATGAGTTGTCCTCACTTTTAACGTGTTTCTCGTTTGCTTCAATGTATTGTTACTTGCTGTATTGTAGCAAATGTGTATCCCCCTTTGCTTTGTAACGGACAGGAGAAGGCACAATTAAAATATATGTTTTGCACATTGTAGACATGTTCCTGTTATGTTGAACATAAATGTCACCCACTCATGTTGTGGTGTTATATCAGCTCCAGTGGTTGAATGAGACTTTAGATTTGGTGATGTCAAATCTGCCACTCGTCGAATACAGTTGAGTACAGATGCATGCACGTTATTGGGTAGCACATATATTTGTTAGAAACAGAAGGACCCCAAAAATACACGCTCAAACAATCTGCGAATTTCTGTAATCCGCAGATTACCCGTAATCGACGGGATTGTTGATCCTGAAAGAAATTGCGGATGACTGGATCTCGTCCGGAAGCGGATAGTTCCTCCCGTAATCCGAGGCACGCCCCGTCGGTGGCATCCATGGATTGTCACAATTTATTGCTGATATTTTGAGAACTACAGTGAGGGAAAAAAAAAGTATTTAATCCCCTGCTGATTTTGTACGTTTGCCCACTGACAAATAAATTATCAGTCTATAATTTTAATGGTAGGTTTGTTTGAACAGTGAGAGACAGAATGACAACAAGAAAATCCAGAAAAACGCATGTCAAAAATTTCATAAATTGTTTTGCATTTTAATGAGGGAAATAAGTATTTGACCCCCTCTCAATCAGAAAGATTTCTGGCTCCCAGGTGTATTTTATATAGGTAACGAGCTGAGATTAGGAGCACACTCTTAAAGGCAGTGCTCCTAATCTCAGCTTGTTACCTGTATAAAAGACACCTGTCCACAGAAGCAATCAATCAATCAGATTACAAACTCTCCACCATGGCCAAGACCAAAGAGCTTTCCAAGGATGTCAGGGACAAGATTGTAGACCTACAGAAGGCTGGAATGGGCTACTAGACCATTGCCAAGCAGCTTGGTGAGAAGGTGACAACAGTTGGTGCGATTATTCGCAAATGGACGAAACACAAAAGAACTGTCAATCTCCCTCGGCCTGGGGCTCCATGCAAGATCTCACCTCGTGGAGTTGCAATGATCATGAGAACGGTGAGGAATCAGCCCAGAACTACACGGGAGGATCTTGTCAATGATCTCAAGGCAGCTGGGACCATAATCACCAAGAAAACAATTGGTAACACACTATGCCGTGAAGGACTGAAATCCTGCAGCGCCCGCAAGGTCCCCCTGCTCAAGAAAGCACATATACATGCCCGTCTGAAGTTTGCCAATGAACATCTGAATGATTCAGAGAACAACTGGGCGAAAGTGTTGTGGTCAGATGAGACCAAAATGGAGCTCTTTGGCATCAACTCAACTCGCCGTGTTTGGAGGAGGAGGAATGCTGCCTATGACCCCAAGAACACCATCCCCACCGTCAAACATGGAGGTGGAAACATTATGCTTTGGGGGTGTTTTTCTGCTAAGGGGACAGGACAACTTCACCGCATCAAAGGGACGATGGACGGAGCCATGTACCGTCAAATCTTGGGTGAGAACCTTCTTCCCTCAGCCAGGGCATTGAAAATGGGTCGTGGATGGGTATTCCATCATGACAATGACCCAAAACACACGGCCAAGGCAACAAAGGAGTGGCTCAAGAAGAAGCACATTAAGGTCCTGGAGTGGCCTAGCCAGTCTCCAGACCTTAATCCCATAGAAAATCTGTGGAGGGAGCTGAAGGTTCGAGTTGCCAAACGTCAGCCTCGAAACCTTAACGACTTGGAGAAGATCTGCAAAGAGGAGTGTGACAAAATCCCTCCTGAGATGTGTGCAAATCTGGTGGCCAACTACAAGAAACGTCTGACCTCTGTGATTGCCAACAAGGGTTTTGCCACCAAGTACTAAGTCATGTTTTGCAGAGGGGTCAAATGCTTATTTCCCTCATTAAAATGCAAATCAATTTTTAACATTTTTGAAATGCGTTTTTCTGGATTTTTTTGTTGTTATTCTGTCTCTCACTATTCAAATAAACCTACCATTAAGATTATAGACTGATCATTTCTTTGTCAGTGGGCAAACGTACAAAATCAGCAGGGGATCAAATACTGTTTTCCCTCACTGTACATTTTCACTATTTATCATGACTGTCTATGGAATATTCTGAGCTTTCTCGTAGACAAATAACGTTTCTGTAGTTTTACTTTCCATTTCGCCAAGAGGACGGCATGTTTAAGGTAACATGAAAACTTGCAAGAGGTCGGGCCACTGCGAGACCGGGCTGCCGTCTCCCACCCGCCGGTGGAGCCATCGACCGCACCGTCAGGACAACACCAACAAGCAGGTCGCTGCTCACGTCTCCTTCACAACTGGACAATCAAAGACAAGTCACGGGTGTGCGATTTTGGCCAATCAAAATCCACAACGCCGAAGTGTACAAGAAGACCGGTTGTCCGAATACCACGCAAGAGACATCGAGAGACGGCGACTCAGGTGGCTCGGACATGTCCCCATAATGGACCAGGGACCGTTTACCCAAAACTGCCCTGTAGATGGACACCGCCGGGCACAAGGAGACCTGGGAAACCCGAGACCACCTGGGCGGCAGATCGTGAAGGACAAGTTCGTTAGCGATCAACCTCTCTTGGGCCCAACATGTTGCCGAGGACAGGAAGAAGTGGAGGTCACTCATTGCGGCCTCATGTACCACAGGGGATGAAGAGGGTTAACTTATCTAACAGTAGTGCGACTTTGGACATGCAACCCAAACTTTGGACCTTATAGCACAGCAAGCCACTGTAGTCTGTGCTCCTTCAGCAGAGCAGGAAGAGGCAACATTACACAAATTCCCTCCTGAAGCCCTCTCGCCGTGGCCAGCAGACATCAACATCGGCATTTAGCTCCTGAACACAATGGCATCATGCAAGAACAAAATGTTCACACCATAACAGTAAATTACTCCAACTTTCGATTTAAAGCTTTCGTGACCGCAGGGATTCATCTTCCTGTTTCTTTCGGTGAAGTCACGTAGAATGGAAATAAAATAATAAAAATACGATTTATATTTGATTATGTTTGATTTTTATGATTTTATTTCCATTCTACGTGACTTTACCGAAAGAACCAGGAAGATTACTCCAACTTGTTTAAACGCATCCACAATTAAAGGCTGTGTGCTTGCTTGCAGTTGTAAAGGCTGCGGGATGTTATTGATCTTCCACCGTATACCAATCTACATCATGCACTCATGGCGTATGTTCAAAATGGCTTGCAAACAATCGCAAGCAATGATCTCAAAACGTGGATCTATTGTCGCCTCATTCGGAGGAGCCTACATCAGGTGAAATTATTTGTGGACTATATGTTCCAAACACTATTGTAACGTCTAGCACACGCCATCGTGGCTTGAATAATAACAACATGGCGTTTCCCTGTCATTGCCAATGGCTGCCTGGCCCAGAAATGTTACCGATAAGAGGAGACCTTCGCTCCCAGCCTGCCGTGCTGTTTGACTGCCATCAGCACCTGTCTATAAGAAGGGGTGTCAGCCAGTTTATACCATTAGGGGTCCTGAACTCCCAGATCATCGTAGAACAGGTAAACCGACTCACACAATTCTAGTTCACACAATATGTTACGTTTTAAAAAGTTGTCTAAATACTCTCGTTTGCACGTTTTACGTCAGGGGGACATAACCCATGGGACTGGTATAATTTATTGAACAATTCGTAGTTGTTTTTAAGCAAATTTACAGAGTTCATTCAAACAAAAGCGCATCGCATGGCTGGTTCGCCTGGTGGTGGGCACGAGGCTCACCAGCAAGGCGACTTTCGTGGAGTTATTTCTGGAGGGGTGTCGTTCCATCTGCTGCCTTCTAGACGACATTCCCTTTGTGTGTGGGGGGGGATTTCCTCTCGTTTGTTAGCTCGTGTCTTTTTTTATTTTGTTCCTGCCGGCGCTATGAACTGCATCGCATGGCTGCGACATTGCCCTGGCAGTTAGAGCGAGCATCATCACACAGCTACTAGAAATCAAGCTTAAATTAGGGGGGCGAGACTCTCACAAGTGGGGGGCCATGTGGGCGGGGGGAGGGGGCTAGGCATGGGTGAGCGACGGAGGGGGGGGGCTGCCAGTGAGGGGGGGGCCCTTTGCGTTATTTTTGCGGTCAGATTGTGGTAAAAGTCTGCGGCACTTTGCGGCGATTCGTGGGTGCCCTTTGGGCTTCTCCCCTCGCACTGCTCCACCCTAGGATGACCCTCCTCGTGTCTCTTTTCTCGAGCTCTTACAAAGAAACTAAACAAACAAACAAAAAACCTTTAATTCAAGAATCGCGTTTAGTCTTATCTACTGCAACTTTTGATCGTGCTGCCGCTGTTTTTGTTGCTAGCTGCTTTTAACATTTGAGACTTGTGCTGAGCAACAAATGTGTTTAAAAATGTCATCATCATCATAATGATAATGGTGGACGAAGATTAAACATCTTGAGAATAAAATTGTTAACACGTCGACTTTCGCGACCAAATCTGACTGTCGCCTGATGAAGCTAGTTGTAATTACTGGCGAAACGTCGTACTCAGATTGTAAATGTTGCGGCTTGGCTCTCCAACACACCGGTTTGCTGTACTAGTGACGAATTGGCCACGTTCTGTTTACATCACAAACCTTCACTAACTGGCTGTGTCGAGTGGCGATGGCTTTAACGACACATTTATATATGTACGCGATCTAACCCCAAAAAGAAAACTCTATTATGAATACAATTATTACTTTTATGTTTCAACCTCCTCCTGCCGCAAAACGAACGGCTGCCATCCGGGTTGTCACCGAGCAGTCTCCGGGGCTGCCACGCAAACAGCAGTGGGTGGGGGACGATGGGCTGCTGCTGCTCTCCCAAGTGTTGCCTCGTCAGCGGCTTGGTCGTCGCGGCGCTCGTGCTGGTGCTGGGAGGAGTCCTCATCCCAATCGGAGACCACATCATCAGCTCCACGGTCACGAAGGTCGGTGTGCGCGAGTGGAGACGCACGCCAACACCAGCACGTGCGCGTGTGTGTGCGTGCGTGTGTCCGGCAAAACAACCCCCTACCTCCTCGCGGTGCCGGACGGGCAACTCTGTCGTGGATAGTGCTGTGGGGGGAGGGCCAATTCCGATTGGCTCCTCTCCTCATGGCGTCTGTGACCACCACAGGGGCTAAACGAGGGCTCTGGATGGGTGCGAGGGGCTGGTAACCCCTCCACCTTAAAAAAATTACCACAAAACTACGACTTAAATATATAACTAATAAGCTTGTGCCGGAGGCCCCGGGGGGACAGGCGTCTATGACGTCTCCTGGCCAAACCCCAATTGGCGGAGCCAGGAGATTGAATCTCTACCTTCGAGGCTCCTCCAGAAACAACGAAAAGCCACTTCGTGTGGCCACGTGGAATGTTCGAACGCTCACTGCGGAGGAGAGGCTGCCACTCCTCTGTCCGGTGGACCGGTTCTGGCTCCTGCCACCATGAGGGGTGGACAGTCCTCTACTCGGGGCAGCAGACTGCCAAACAACAGGGTGTGGCTCTTCTTTTGAACAAAAGAATGAAGGGGGCGTGGGAGCATGGCGGTGAGGTGTGGGAAGCTGTAAGCCCCAGGCTACTTTGGGCTCGCCTTCCCATCAACCGGAGGCGAGGAGTGGTGGTCGTGGTTACTTATGCCCCCACCGAAAACGAACATCCGTGGAGGGATGCAGGCAAAGCCGATGAGTCAGATGCCTTCTATGACCTCCTGTCACAGGTGCTGGCTAAAGTAGCCCCTTGGGACAGGCGTCTATGACGTCTCCTGGCCAAACCCCAATTGGCAGAGCCAGGAGATTGAATCTCTACCCTCGGGGCTCCTCCAGAAACAACGAAAAGCCACTACGGATGGCCACGTGGAATGTTCGAATGCTCACTGCGGAGGAGAGGCTGCCACTCCTCTGTCGGGAGCTGGACTGGTACGCCTGGATCTCTGTGGCATTCAGGAGGTCCGGTGGACCGGTTCTGGGTCCTGCCACCATGAGGGGTAGACAGTCCTCTACTCGGGGCAGCAGACTGCCAAACAACAAGGTGTGGCTCTTCTTTTGAACAAAAGAATGAAGGGGGCGTGGGAGCATGGCGGTGAGGTGTGGGAAGCTGTAAGCCCCAGGCTACTTTGGGCTCGTCTTCCCATCAACCGGAGGCGAGGAGTAGTGGTCGTGGTTACTTATGCCCCCACCGAAAACGAACATCCGTGGAGGGATGCAGGCAAAGCCGATGAGTCAGATGCCTTCTATGACCTCCTGTTACAGGTGCTGGCTAAAGTGGCACCTCGGGATAGAGTCATCATGTTGGGTGACTTCAATGCCCGAGTTGGTCAAGATGCTGGCACCTGGTCTGGAGTGATTGGAGGGCATGGGCCAGATCAGCTCAATAACAACGGTATGAGGCTGCTAGATTTTTGTGCAGCCCATGGGCTTTTAATTACCAACACGCTGTTCCGGCATCGGCGCATCCACACAACATCATGGATGCATGTCGGGTCCAAGCAAGAACATCTGCTGGACTACATAGTGACGGACCAGCGGATGCGAGCCCATGTCCTTGACACCAGGACCTACCGTGGAGCTGATCTGCCCTCTGACCATCGACTAGTCATCTGTAAGATGCGCCTGCCATTCTTCCACTCCGGTGGTGGGTGTATACCCAGGACCCCATTCCAACCTAAAGTGGCCTGGTCTCAGTTATCTGATGAAAGTTGCAAGCGATAATTTCAACATCGTTTGCGACTAGGGTTGGCATTGTCCCCCACTCCTCCTGATGTCGAGGGTAAATGGGCGAGGTTCAGGACTGCACTCATGCAACTGCATTGGCTGCTATGGGTACGCGGTCCAGACCTCCCCAGAGACCCTGGCTGACAGAGGAGGTGTTCAGGATAGTTGAGAAAAAGCGACAGGCCCACTGTCATCGGCTACAGAATCCCACGTCAGAGAATGAGGAGGCTTACCGCAGCCTTCGCTCGGAGGTTCGGAGAGCCGTGAGGCGCTGCAAGGATGGGTGATGGTCGCGGGTTGCTGAGGAGTTGGAGTCTGCCTCAGTGGCATGCGAACACAAATCTCTATTTAACTCCATCAAAAAAGTAACCTGCAGTGCCACACCGATTACCATCGTTAGGGGAAATAATGGTGATCCAATCTCCGACCCCCAGGAACAGGTTTGCAGATTTGCTGAGCATTTCTGTGAGGTCCTGGGGGAGGGAAAATCCCTCAGCCAGGAAAACATCATGGCACAAAGTGGGGATGACCCTACTGAGGCTGAGGTGCCTCAAATATTGGAAGTCAACCGCTGTGAGTGGCTAGCTGAGGTACCATCTGTTGAGGAAGTACTGAAGGCGATCCGGAGTCTGAGACCAGGAAAGGCAGCGGGCAGAGATGATCTCCCAAGCGAAATGCTGAGGGAGGGTGGCGTTTGTGCACAGACTGCCCGATATGACATCATAACAACAGTCTGGACCACTGGATGGGTTCCGCAGGATTGGAAGGATGCCCTAGTGGTCCCCCTCTTTAAGAAGGGTGACCGCACAGACTGTAACAACTACAGGGGCATCTCACTCCTCAGTGTGCCGGGAAAGGTCCTGGCAAGGATTATTCAACATCGCCTTGCCAGGCACGCTGAGGAGAGGCTTGCGGAGCCCCAATGCGGTTTCAGGAAAGGGCGGTCCTGCACAGATGCCATATTTTCTGTCCATCTGCTACAGCAGAGGTGTAGGGAATTCCAGCAAGACCTACATCTCTGCTTTATTGACCTGGTCAAGGCCTATGATACCATAAATAGGCCTGGCCTCTGGGTTGTTCTTCGTGCTTTTGAAGTCCCTGATCCTCTGCTCACGATCATTAAGGACCTTCATGATGGTGAGCGGGCCCGGGTAAAACTACGTGGCCGGGAGTCAGAGCCATTCCCTGTACACCTTGGGGTGCGACAGGGATGTCCTCTGTATCCCACATTATTTAACATCTATTTTGACCACGTAGATCGTGAAGCCTTCAATAGTTGTACCGGGGGAATCTCCATATGGTACAGATATAATGGGAGGCTGATCGATGCCCGGGTGCGGTCAAGGGATGGCTCCCTATTGCTCAACCACGTTATGTATGCCGATGATTTGGTAATAGCTGCTCATTCAGAGGAGGAGATGGAGACGCTGCTGCTGAGGCTGGAGCGTGCCACTTAGAGATGGGGCCTTACCATCAGCTCCACCAAAACTAAGCACCTGCCTGGGTATTTTGTACCATCGGACACTCCACACCCACAACTCCCAATCGGTAATGGGGCAGTTGTGGAGGGAGTGGAGAGTTTCCCATACCTGGGCAGTGTGCTTATGACCGGTTCCAGTTTAACAGCAGAGGTCTCACTCCGAATCAGTCGAGCGGCAATATCTTTTCATCGGTTGCGTAACGCTGTGTGGAAGCTACCTGGTCTATCTCTCCGCACTAAGCTTCAGGTCTTCTCGGCCACGGTCATTCCCTCCCTTCTCTACGCTTGCGAAAGTTGAACCCCCCTAATGGAACATCTTCGCCGATTAGAAACATTTAGGCGAGCCTGCCTTCGATCCATCTTGAGTTTAACCAGGCTGGATTGTGTGAGGAACTTACAAATCCTTGAAAGATCTGGGCAAGGTTCCATCAGTGAGCTCCTCCGGCAGGCAAGGCTGCGTTGGCTGGGTCATGTAGCCCGCTTGCCCAGCCACCGCATGCCCAAACAGATTTTGTTCAGCCGGATCGAGGGGGTTAAACGGGCGCGGCACGGGCTAGAGAAGAGATGGAGTGATGTGGTACAGGAGGACGTGGAGCTGTGTGGACTTGCCGATGACTGGTACCAGCAGTGTCAAGATCGGCCTCTGTGGAGGAGGCTCGTGAAGGATGCTACTGGGCAGTTGTAGGCAGTCGCCCTCCAACAACATTGGAGGGCCGATGAGCGACGCTCAGAACAACGAGCGGAGTGCCGGGTGGCTGAAGCACAGCAGGTTGGCACAGTAGGGGGCACAGGTGGTGCATCAGCCAGTCAACTCAGTCATCTCAGTCAGTCGACCCGTGGCACCTGGGTCTGCCCCGTGACCTCCTGCCAGCGGGCGTTCGACACTTCACGTGGCCTCAGGGTGCACATAGCCTGGCACAAGCGTCGTGGTGACGACACCGCCACTTAGTGGCGAATGGCGGTTGTTGTGTGTGTGCGCGTGTGTGTGCGTGCGCGCGTGTGTGCGTGCGTGTGTGCGCGTGCGTGTGTGTGCGCGTGTGTGCGTGTGTGTGCACGTGTGTGTGTGTGCGTGCGCGCGTGTGTGCGTGCGTGTGTGCGTGTGCACGTATGTGTGTGCGCGTGTGCGTGTGTGTGCGCGTGTGTGTGTGTGTGTGCGCGCGCGCATGTGTGCGTGCGTGTGTGCGTGCGTGTGCGCGTGTGTGTGCGCGCGTGTGTGTGCGCGCGTGTGTGCGTGCGTGTGTGCGTGCGTGTGCGTGTATGTGTGCGCGCGTGTGCGTGCGTACGTGTGTGTGCGCGTGTGTGTGTGCGTGTGTGTGTGCGTGTGTGTGTCTTTTGGGGAGCGGTGGTGAAGCGGTGAGAGCCGCTGCGCTACGAACCCGGCGACCCGAGTTTGATTCACGCTCGCAAACAACGCCGGTGACGATTAACTGAACCGGTTCTGGGCCTCCCCTGGGTCGGCTCGGCCTCAAATAAGTACCTCGGTGCGGTGTGTAAACATCGCAACTGGGGAGACAAAGGCGGTCGGCGGTGGTGTTGGCCACCCACTCCCACGTGTGCCGTCCCGGCCGTCATTGGTTGTTCGCTTACAGCACTTGTCCCAACAGGCTGTTAAGGCTATACGGAGGTTATTTGCCTTTGACGTTTAGAAATGTGAACGCAGGCACGTGAACGTACGCACGTGAATGTGATTGCGTCCGCATCGAGACTAGGAGCATCTCGATGGCGAATTCCCGTGCAAGCACGTGCAGGCAGTCCTCGTTGAGCGCGCTATTTGACGCGTTAAGCGAAAACTATTTCCCTTATAAGTAATATAACGATAACGTTTGGCGGTATGCAAAGTGGTACGCGTTTTATCGACCTCCGGGGGATGAGCCGAGTCAACCTCCAGCGAGGATTTGAACTCGCGTGCTTACAATTGCGAGCTGCTCGATCTACTGCCGAGCCACTTAGCTAGTACTGGTGTAAGTTACTGCAGATGTACCGCATTGTGGAAGAGACAACGCTTTTCTAACCATGCATACTCCCCTTCTGTTCATAGGAGGCCGTGCTCATCAATGGTACCGTGGCATTTGATGCATGGGTCCAGTCCCCCAGCGATGTCTACCGCCAGTTTTGGTTCTTCAATGTGACCAACTCAGAAGAGTTCTCGCTGCAAAGTAATTCCAGCGTCACCGTGAAGCCCAAACTCAAGCAGCTGGGACCCTACACGTACAAGTGAGTCCCGAACTGCACCAGCAAACAAAACATCACAGCACCAAACACGCGTGACCTGACGCAAGGGACAATAAAAACGAAAGGTATCTTCATACACCAAGCCCACGAAGCCCTTTGCACACTTCACACGTTAGTGAAGTTATATATATGGTTGTTTATCTAATGATGAAAGGCTTATCTGAAATGAGTATAATTTCAGCAATACAGACGAAATGGTGTGATGTGCTGCCGAATGAAGAGAGTTCAAACGCTATAAACATTATGTCTGCACATTTAGGCAATTCTGCAAATGGCGGTAGAGATTGTCAAATGGTGATACCGAAAAATACAAAAACTTTGTCCAATGATTTTTACAGCTGAACGTGAAGCATCGACAGTGGTTGGCGCACTGGGCTATGGACCGAACGATCCAAAAGTTTGGTTCCTGGCAACAGCTAATATTAGTTGCCAGTGACATGTGCACTGGATCCGGGCCTCTCTCTTCACCAACCTACGCTGACCAGCAATGTTCAATTTTTCATGATGATGATGATAAAAAAAAACCTCAATAACGCACAGTGCATGCGGAAAAACTTCATTTGGCGAGTGGATTGACAAAATAATTAATTGATGGCTTGCTTACTATCACACGGTGTACTGTGCCCTCGAAATAATGTTGGGGGGGGATATACACCCACGGTGTCCCACATACAGAGACTGGATATTTGGGGGGTGGGGTTTGTAATATTCAGCGGTATTTATTTACTTATATTCATACTGCATCAGTGATGTAAATATACAGCGCATATTCATATACTGCCTTATGGAAGGCAATATAATTAATTTAACATTATAAGCTGCACATGTGCTAAAGCGGGTCTTTCTTGCCACTAACTTTACCCCTGAAATAGCCCTGTCTTTTCTATAAATGGGATCTGTGGGGGAAGTCACCCGAATCGTCGAAATATTAGGAGAGAAACCAAGATTATTGTTTTTTTATAATATTAATGTAGGACCATTTTTTTGTATGCTTCGAATGTCGGGAACTACCCCAACTCCCCTTGGGAGGACCTTCGATCAGCGTTGTGACCTTAGATCAGCTTTGTGACCTTCGATCAGCTTTGTGACCTTCGATCAGCGTTGTGACCTTCGATCAGCGTTGTGACCTTAGATCAGCTTTGTGACCTTAGATCAGCTTTGTGACCTTCGATCAGCGTTGTGACCTTCGATCAGCGTGGTGACCTTCGATCAGCTTTGTGACCTTAGATCAGCTTTGTGACCTTCGATCAGCGTTGAGACCTTCGATCAGCTTTGTGACCTTCGATCAGCTTTGTGACCTTAGATCAGCTTTGTGACCTTAGATCAGCGTTGTGACCTTCGAACAGCGTTGTGACCTTCGATCAGCTTTGTGACCTTAGATCAGCTTTGTGACCTTCGATCAGCTTTGTGACCTTAGATCAGCGTTGTGACCTTAGATCGCTTTGTGACCTTCGAACAGATTTGTGACCTTAGATCAGCGTTGTGACCTTTGATCAGTTGTGTGACCTTACATCAGCGTTGTAACCTTAAATCAACTCTGTGACCTTCGATCAGATTTGTGTCTTTAGATCAGCTTTGTGACCTTAAATCAACTGTGTGACCTTTGCCAAGGAAGAGTCTGTTCATAAGATTTCTTTGTGCAGTGGCTATGGCGTGCACAGGTGTCATCTTATAAAGCTGTGAACCATCTTGCCCCAGCTTATATCGTTGACATGCTGCACCCATATGTCTCCCCCTGAAGGTCCCTAAGATCTGGGGATGCAAATCTTCTCTGTATTCTGTGGACATTTTGAAAATGCGCCTTAGAACCTATTTATATGCTTCCACTTATTACACTTTTAGTTCATTTACAAAATGGAGTATAATATAAAATAATTAGCCAGGATTTTCAGGTAGGGGGGGAGCAACCCCTCCAGAAATGAAAAATGATAGAGGAGTTGTTAGTAAGTAAGGAGTTGTTAGTAAGTAAGGAGTTGTTAGTAAGGAGTTATTAGTAAGTAAGGAGTTATTAGTAAGCAAGGAGTTGTTAGTAAGCAAGGAGTTGTTAGTAAGTAATGATTTGTTAGTAAGTAAGGAGTTGTTAGTAAGGAGTTGTTAGTAAGTAAGGAGTTATCAGTAAGCAAGGAGTTGTTAGTAAGCAAGGAGTTGTTAGTAAGGAGTTATTAGTAAGGACTTGTCCCTTGCTTGTTACTCGACGCGTGTGCGGCGATGACACAGCCATCGATCGACGGTCAAATTCGAACCGCGTTGTGTGATCGGCATCGCGCTCGCTGAAGGTGTCGATGCCTTCAGGGAAGTTGTGTACTCTGTAGACGTAACTGCACAAAATTCTGAGTCACTTATAACTGCTTTGCCGTTAGTTATTGCCAATTATGGACTCAGCCTATTGTCATATCGTCTCATAGAGTCCCTGGCACGTAATAATATGTTACACAGTGGCAGTGGGGGTCGCAAAATGCCGATTTATTACTAATAAACCCCAATGATCCGATGGAAATTAGAGATTTCGATCGGATCATTGGGGGGGGCACGTGCTACCCCCCCCCTCCACTGGCTCCGCCAGTGGCTGCTGCTGTGTCTGCTTTGAGGTCCTTGATGAAAAGCCACTATATAGATGGACTTATTATTATTATCTTGTGATGGGGCATTTCCATGTTTTGCAGAGTGCGGCATTTAGCCAAGGACAAGCTGGTATACCATCCGAACGACAGCGTGTCGTACGTGCTACCGCAACAAGCCATCTTCCTGCGGGACATGTCTGTGGGACCCGAGGAAGACTTGATCACGTCCATTAACATGGTGGCTTCTGTAAGAACCATTGCTGCGTTTATTTATTCACCTGCAACAATCACAGAGCCAACAATGGTTGCCAACGCAAGTTAGTTGCCATAGAAGCATATCACCTCTGTTATATGGCCATATTTGCTCACATTAATCTATGTAGCATCATGTAAATCATTAATAACATCTTTAACACCAATCTTTCCATTTACAGAATGCAAAGAAATGTCGGTATAGTTAGCAGTGCAAATTGGAATACAATATCACCATTGACTTAATTACAGCATTTAAATTATATTGTTATGTTGTAATAATTTGGTTTTATTCAGTCCAAGTGTCTCCCTGCTCAAACAACGTGTGTATGTTGAACTTATTTCGCGTTGTACGTAGCCAACCGTGCTAATTGCAGGTGCATGGGAAGGTCAACAAACCAACACACAACCAACAGTTTTCAAGAAATTAGTTTGAAATCTCGATTCAAAACAGACGATACGGCGGAAGTCATCGTCACAATTGTCAGCCCTGCGAAGGTGACAGTGATGGTAATTTTATATTCCGGTGATGACATTTACTGTAGCCTCCCCATACAGTTTAACAAGTAGGTTTTCGCGACCAATATTACCTATAATGGAGGTTTTTGGGTTAGATCGCGTAACTATAAATGTCGTCGTTAAACCCGCCACCATCCGACACAGCCAATGAGTAAGGTTTGTCACATAAAGTAAGTTTACCCGTGAGTAAACCCATCCAGCTTTCAAACAAATGTGTCTCTACACAGTTATGAAAGTAGCACTGAGCTTCAAGTACAGAATACAACGGCAGATCTGCCACAAAGTTGCATATACGCAGCGCAGGTATCCCTCGATTTTACGAACGTTCGGTTTATGAAATTTCGCATTAACGCAATTGAAACTTTTTAACGAAATCGAAATTTCACTCCGGCCACGCGCCGTGAGATCGTCAAACGAGAAGCAACGCCGGGGAGGCTGCGTCGCCACCCATCCCCGACAGCGCCACTTTGTCCCTGCAGTGCAGCAGGAACGCCTCCACATAGCCACGGTGTTCCTGCAGTGCAACAGGAACGCCTCTACATCGCCACGGTGTTCCTGCAGTGCAGCAGGAACGCCTCCACATCGCCACGGTGTTCCTGCAGTGCAGCAGGAACGCCTCCACATCGCCTTGCCAGATCTTTTGGCGAGTTCCCCGATAAAGTGTTCATTATTTTGTTTCTTTTAGTCAATAATTATTCCTTCATTTTAATATTAACTTCATTTGTTATCGTTTGTGCGCTGTCAAAATTGATATAGGTGTATCTTTTTTTAGGTTCGGAATTGGAATGACTGTTCGAAACATATCCCTAAAAAAATGTTCTATTAAGTTGAAGGAAAAAGCCATTCCAATTTATGAAGTTTTTTTTGAAGCACGTCTTTTTGAAGAACGCATCCCTTCTGTAAATCGAGGGATGCCTGCACTGCACAAACCACATTTGCAGCAGCCCTGGCATTACATCAGCAGCAGTATTGCACGTCGGGACTGTCGTATCTAAAGTGTAAGCCTTCTGTTTGCTCTTTCAGGCGTTGCCTGTCATAATGGGTTTTCCCGGAGTTTTAAATTCTTTTTACAAGAAAACCAACACCAGCATCTTCCATACACGCACAGTTCGAGAGCTGCTCTGGGGATACAAGGATCCCATCCTAGAATCGGTGGCCAGCACCGGCATCGACAGTACCTTTGGACTCTTTTATCCGGTAAGTTTTAGAATTCACCTTTGTCCAAGCCTTTCATTCACCTTCCACCCAAACAACTCTGCCTTTCCTAGCAATTGGGGGCACCGCGGTGGCAATATGTTAACAACCTCGCCTGATATGCAGTAGGCCGTGAGTTTGATCCCGACCGTGACGCCTGCTGTGTATTTGGAGTTTGCATGTCTCTCTCCTTGTGGTGGCGTGGATTTTTCTCTGAGTCCTCTGGTTTTTCCCTCAACATTTAGAATCAACATCACGCACTAAGAGTATTTGGCCGCTATACATTTCCACATGATAAGCCACTTCGTTGAGCTGTTATTTGTGGCCAGGTCTCTTCTGAAAAAAAGCTACATAACTCAGTGGGTCTTACCTGGTAAAATAAAAAATAAACATAAATTGTTTTAATATGGGGAATCTTACACTGTGGTTCTTCAAATATGTGTTAAGTGTTAAATGGAATGTTTTATTACTTCATTTAAAAATGATACAGTAATTTGTATTTCTCATTAAAAATTGTAAAAAAAAGTTGTGCTAGAGTGGAATATTTTAGGGCTGGAACGTAAGTCAGCTTTTAACATGGCAGTCAATGTGAAAACGATGATCGTTTAACGAGTTTTCGCTTGCCGAGCCATTTTGGTGGAACATATGTCGCGTGTTAAGCGAGACGACAGGCCTGTTACATTTACAGTGAGGGGAAAAGGTATTTGATCCCCCGCTGATTTTGTACGTTTGCCCACTGACAAAGAAATGATCAATCTATAATTTTAATGGTAGGTTTTTTTTAAAAGTGAGAGACAGAATAACAACAAGAAAATCCAGAAAAACACATGTCAAAAATGTTATGAATTGATTTGCATTTTAATGAGGGAAATAAGTATTTGACCCCTCTGCAAAACATGACTTAGTACTTGGTGGCAAAACCCTTGTTGGCAATCACAGAGGTCAGACGTTTCTTGTAGTTGGCCACCAGGTTTGCACACATCTCAGGAGGGATTTTGTCCCACTCCTCTTTGCAGATCTTTTTCAAGTCATTAAGGTTTCGAGGCTGACGTTTGGCAACTCGAACCTTCAGCTCCCTCCACAGATTTTCTATGGGATTAAGGTCTGGAGACTGGCTAGGCCACTCCAGGACCTTGATGTGCTTCTTCTTGAGCCACTCCTTTGTTGCCTTGGCCGTGTGTTTTGGGTCATTGTCATGATGGAATACCCATCCACGACCCATTTTCAATGCCCTGGCTGAGGGAAGGAGGTTCTCACCCAAGATTTGACGGTACATGGCCCCGTCCATCGTCCCTTTGATGCGGTGAAGTTGTCCTGTCCCCTTAGCAGAAAAACACCCCCAAAGCATAATGTTTCCACCTCCATGTTTGACGGTGGGGTTGGTGTTCTTGGGGTCATAGGCAGCATTGCTCCTCCTCCAAACATGGCGAGTTGAGTTGATGCCACAGAGCTCCATTTTGGTCTCATCTGACCACAACACTTTCACCCAGTTGTCCTCTGAATCATTCAGATGTTCATTGGCAAACTTCAGACGGGCATGGATATGTGCTTTCTTGAGCAGGGGGACCTTGCGGGCGCTGCAGGATTTCAGTCCTTCACGGCGTAGTGTGTTACCAATTGTTTTCTTGGTGACTATGGTCCCAGCTGCCTTGAGATCATTGACAAGATCCTCCCGTGTAGTTCTGGGCTGATTCCTCACCGTTCTCATGATCATTGCAACTCCACGAGGTGAGATCTTGCATGGAGCCCCTGGCCGAGGGAGATTGACAGTTCTTTTGTGTTTCTTCCATTTGCGAATAATCGCACCAACTGTTATCACCTTCTCACCAAGCTGCTTGGCAATGGTCTTGTAGCCCATTCCAGCCTTGTGTAGGTCTACAATCTTGTCCCTGACATCCTTGGAGGGCTCTTTGGTCTTGGCCATGGTGGAGAGTTTGTAATCTGATTGATTGCTTCTGTGGACAGGTGTCTTTTATACAGGTAACAAGCTGAGATTAGGAGCACTCCCTTTAAGAGTGTGGTCCTAATCTCAGCTCGTTATCTGTATAAAAGACACCTGGGAGCCAGAAATCTTTCTGATTGAGATGGGGTCAAATACTTATTTCCCTCATTAAAATGCAAATCAATTTATAACATTTTTGACATGCGTTTTTCTGGATTTTTTTGTTGTCATTCTGTCTCTCACTGTTCAAATAAACCTACCATTAAAATTATAGACTGATCATTTCTTTGTCATTGGGCAAACGTACAAAACCAGCAGGGGATCAAATACTTTTTTCCCTCACTGTACGTTGTGGCGCAATGTGATTTCTGTGCAGTACAATGGTTCAAACGATGGAGTTTATACCATTTTCACTGGGCAAGGAGACATCAGCAGAGTTGCGATCATCCATGAATGGAAGTATAACAAGTAAGTCCTTTGCAATAATGACTTATTCCTCAATGTTCAAGTCAATATTGAGTATAGTACTGTACTGTGAAACTTCTCAAAGCTGGACTGGTTTGGGGCGACCCTCACGTAATGGGTTGTGTCAGACGTTCCGCATAGAATTACGGAATTCATTCAAGTTTATTTGGCAACAAATGTGAAAAAATGCTAAATAAAGCCAAGAACAGAGCAAAGCAGCGCACGCGGCATCCAACGTCAAAGATTTACCGATTTACATACAACAGAATAAGCGCAGTTCGTGAATGTGGCTGAAAAATTGCTGGTATACATTCATTGATTGTAGTGCGCATTTTTTATTTTATTTTCGGCAGCCTTAGGGCTTAACCCGAATTCCGGCCTACACGACCCGGGCTTTGAGAGGCTTTATTGTAACTTCGCAAACGTGCTCACTAAATACATCGTGCTGTCCGACTCTCTTTTTCTTTATGTCAGGTCCATGAACTTTTGGCCGGACGAATTCTGTGACAGAATAAAAGGGACAGGTAAAAATGAAACTGCAACACTGTAGTTTAAACAGACGTCTCAGAAATGCAACTCAGCATCATTTGTGCAAATTCAATTCAGGACAACTCCTCTTATCTGTGGTGATGTGGAGGACCAAAATCACGGATCCTGTTATCCGTATGGATATCCACGTTTATTTTTACTGCACTTACTATTTAAAACGATAAATATTTGTTTTATTTTACCAGGTAAGGCCCACTGAGTTATTACAGCTCTTTTTTAGAAGTGACCTGGCCACAAATGATAGCTGAACAACGTGGCTCATCACGTCGAAATTTATAGCAGCCAAATAATTTTCACACATGTCGTTTATAAATGTGGAGGGCAAAACCAGAGGATACGGAGAAAAATCCACGCGACCACAGGGTGAACATGCAAACTCTAGATATATAGCAGGCGTCAGGGTCGGGGTCGAACCCACGACCTTCTCCTGTGTACCAGGCGAGGTAGTTAACATCTTGCCATCACATAGACAATAATTCTCGTGAACAATTAGAAATTATAATCAGGGCAGAGGTCAACGCAGGGTTTTTATTTTTGTGATTAGATTATAGTCCTACTCCCGCACCTCTAATTCGCACGGTTGGCTACGTACGGTGTGAAATAAGTTCAACATACTTACGGTACATACAAGGCCAGCACATCGACCTTCTAGGGTGAAAGACATGAGGGACAGTGCATAAGGCTGCCATCGGAATGTGGAATTTTCGTTCTCCGGCTGCCAAAGAAGATGAGCACTTCTGAATGCTCGCTTGAACAAGGAGACACTTTGAGTTCCGACGAGGGCCGTGAAGTCGGTGTAACTCGTAGGAGGCTTTCGCGACCAATATCATCCATAATAGAAGGGGTTTTTGGGTTAGATCGCATAAATATATACATGTGACACAGCCAACTTGTAAGGGTTGTCACGTTAACAGAACATGCCAATTCGTCACGAGTACAGCACACCGGTGTGTTGGAGAGCCAAGCCACAACATTTACAATCTGAGTACGACGTTTCGCCAGTAATAACAACCAGCTTCATCAGGCGACAGCCAGAATTGTGGAGAAGTCCACCTGTTTTGTTCCTTATATATTAGAGGCGTAGATGTGGTGACCACGCTTCTGCGCTCTTGCCGTGAAGTCGGCAGGCACCTACCTATTGGCATGCCGCTTTGAATTGTGGGGACGGTATTCTCATCGTGAGTGCGATGTGTGCAAGTAAGCAAGCATTTTGACGAATGAGAAGTGTCTGACAGTTGTTTATTTTATGTTGTTGATTTTAATTCATGGCGAGTGTAGCATTTGTTGTAATCATTAACACATGGTGGCATTTGCCTATCAGTCCTTGCCTAGGCAAGCATTGCCTTTGAAGTGCATGTTACACTTGGAAACGAAACTTTGTTGTGTCCACAGATGGATCCAGCTTTCCGCCTTTTTTGAATAAGAAAAATAAACTGGAATTTTTTTCATCTGATGTCTGCAGGTAATATGTGCTTCATACGTGAGCATGTTGTCTGCGAATTTTAATGGGCGCGAATTTTAATGGGCGCATTTGAAGCGCTGTGTGGCAACGTTGGGGGTGGAGTGGTAGCGAGGTTGTGGTGAAGTATGGTCAAATAAGGGCTTTATCCAGCAGTGGATTAACAGAGGGCTGTAACAAATGAAAAAGCTGCACATTTTAAAAACCTTACTACTGTACGCACAGCTATTTTGCCACGCAAATGCACCTCCGATTAGCACGTTTGGCTACGTACAGTGCGAAATAAGTTCAACGTACATACATACAATCGATCAGAGCAGTAATGAAAAATTAATTGCAAAGTACAGACTGTACAAATATATAAATAGAGTGTTGTACGGTACTCTAAATACGTGTTCGTTTTCTGACACTTGGAAATGAGGTTCTTACTCTTGACCAGAGTGTGCATTCGTCCTTTGGTCCATCAGGACTGTCAAACATGGATACAAAGACTACCTATCGACCATCATACCCATTTCGAATGCATCTCCCCCATTCCGTGGAAACGCACAACCCCATTTCTAGCTTTCAACTGAACGGCACATTTCCTCTTTTTGTCTTGGATCATCGCCGCACGTGTCCATCCCGCAGGAATCTGGTCGCGGAATTTGACCAAACGCGAAAACTGAAGGGCATCGACGTGTACCGTTACCTGCTCCCCACGTCACTGCTCTCGGCGTCGAACAAGAACACCGCCAACCAGTGCTACTGCACCGAGTACCTCAACCGGACGGGCTGCACGCGTGACGGAGTGCTGGACATCAGCAGCTGCAAAGGCGGTGGGTGGGCGGGCGGGCGGGCGCATCTGGGACGGCAGTACGGGGCGGCTCCCTTTCACCGTGGACCACTCGTGAACGGAGCGAGCCGCGCCTGCTGTGCGAAAAGGGGGGCGGGGTGGGGGGCTCTGCGGTGGTGAGATGTTAGCTACCTCGCCTGGTGCTGTATATTTGGAGTTCGCGTGTCTCTCTCTCTCCTCGTGGTCGCGTGGATTATTCTCCGGGTCCTCCGGTTTTCCCCCCTCTATTTTCTACATCTCAGAAAATGTAACAATTCTGCACATTTTGTTTGATGTGGATCGTTTTGACTTATCATATTGTGTGGTTTACCTTTGGAGCAGTGCCCGTACGGTATTTGTGGATGGCATGCGATGTATAAACACCATCGACTGGGCGCCGCGGTGGCGAGATGTTAACTCCCTCGCAGGAGGTCATGGGGTTCGATCCCGACTCTGGCGGGCTCTTTATTTGGAGTTTGTGTGTCTCTCTCTGCGTGGTGGCATGGATTTTTCTCCGGGTCCTCCGGTTTTTTCCCTCCGTATTTAGAAACGGCATGCGTTTAGAGTCTTTGGCTGCTGTAAATTTCCATGCGATGAGCCAATTTCTTGAGCTATCATTTGTGGCCAGGTCGCTTCTGAAAACGAGCTATATACAGCAGCTCAGTGGGCCTTACCTGGCAAGATAAAAAAAAATAGTTCATAGTTGTTCGAACGTGACGAAGGGCAGCCCGTTTGCCCACTATGCCAAGCTGAAGCCAGGTAACACTTGGACATGTGGAAAAAAAAAAAGAGCTTCATAGCTCCTCGAATTCCTCTCGTCTGATTAAATATTCTGAAATAAAGATTGAAATGAGAGTGTACTGTCCCGTGCCCTCCCTGCCTCAGGCGCTCCGGTGTTCATCTCTCTGCCTCATTTCCTGGACGGCAGCAGGGAATATATCGATGATGTGGAAGGTCTGGAACCAAATCGGGAAGATCATGAAACCTACCTGGACGTGGAGCCGGTATGGCTAATGTGACACACTCCCACTGCCCTCACCAGCGCAGTGTTTTGCAGCGGTGACGTGGCCCAGCCGCCAGCTCTCGTTCAGACGGCTGCTGCTGCAGAGGCTCATGGTTCGGATCCAGCGGCCGCCCCGTTTGATACCCGCGCTGTGCGATGTTCATAATAACAGTGCCCGTTAATGTGCAAGTATGCATAGAAGCAGTCTGCTGTCGTTTTGGTGATAACTTTTATTCCTAGGGGACAGATCTCAGAATCTTACCATTATCTGTAGAGCCCTAAAACGTGGAAAGTTGAGAGCCACATCTCCTAACCAATGTGTGACTGCCTGTTATAATGCATTTAGTGTTTCTGGCAAAGGACACTTTGCCGCGTATGTATGTATGTTGAACTTCTTTCGCACCGTACGTAGCCAACCGTGCTCATCGGAAGTGCGGGGGAAGGACAACAACACCAAACACAAAAAGCAGTTTTAAAGGAATTATTTAGTCAATCTGGATAATGATTTAAGAGTGCATAACTCCAGTGGCTTCCTAACATCGGTAGGAAAGAGCGTTCCAGACGGCCGCAGAAGCGCGCCTGAAATCGCCGCGCGATGACGCGGTGACCCCCGTCTTTGTCCGATGGTCAGCAGCCAGAAGCAGCCGCTGCGAGGATGACCGCAGTTCGCGCGATGGTTCATGCTCCTTAACGAGATCGGCAAGGTGTTGGGGTTCATTTGTGTCAAGCACTGTGTGCGTGCGACGCATTGCGACCTTAAAGCAGTGACCCTCCTGTTGGGGCAGCTTGTCCCGGTGGTGATGATAATTGTTGTTGTTTTGTTGATCTCGCAGACGACGGGAATTACCCTGAGCGTGACAAAGCGTATACAAATCAACGTTCTTCTGCAGCCAGTCAAACAAATTGAGTAAGTGCTCTTGAATATACTGTCTACACAGGATTTGTATATCTTATTGTATGAGATGGCATATTGGGTTCCAGCCAATATCTGCTCCGTGTTCTAATCCTCACCCTGACCAGCGTGTAGTGCTACACTAAATAGGTTATTTTTTTGTTACATATAGTCAGATATTCATATACCTGTAAGAAATATAATCACAATTGAAATATATTCGAAAATTTGCCACTTTTTTGTGGTAATTCTGTTCGATTCTGATTAATAATATGAACTAAACCTTCTACCACGGACAAAAGTGTTTTAAAAAGGAACAATTAAACGCATGACTTTTGTGCAATTAATTTTACTTCATTATATCCGCATTTGACAAACATGTTATGTGCCTGGGTCCATTTCCCTCTGAGCTCCCCTCAGCCTCATTTCTCTCCTCTCCATTCATCATCGGCGATGGTTTCAGCGTCCTTGTTGACAATCCATCGAGCTTCCAGTTACTCCTTGAGTCCATGCAGCGGTCTCCACCGGTTTCATCTCACACTGACTCCCATTTCCTTACCATCAACCGCATCCAAACAACGTAATGGCTCTGGCCTGGATGGCTGGGTTCACGGCTGTGCTACTATACCCTTGTTCGCCGTTATAATGTAAAATCCCGAACCTGACTGCTGTGTTTTCCAATGGCGGTCCATCGCTTTGTGAGCTCCATTCGGAGGGGGCAACGATCCGTGGAAGGGGAAGCAGTTGGGGGCGATCTCCACTCCTTGAAAGCCACAAATAATTGGTATATTATTGCAATATACCAACGAAATAAAATCTCATTATTCATTTTTGTTACGAATGTACATCCATAAATCTATATATATTTTTTAATCTTGACATTTTAGGGCTGCTCCCGATTGGGAAGTTTCTAAATCCGTCTCTGATTTAAAAAAAAACGCTTTATGGAGTACCGTATATACTGTGCATGCGTTCATTTTCTGTAACTTGCGAGGTATTGATGGACTCACACGTGTGCGGATGTAATTTACACGCACAGTGTGTGCGCATTAGTCCTTGCGTACGTCGCCACTGTCAAGCAAGGTTCTTCACACACTCGTACGTTTTAAATGTTAAAAGCATCATCACAGTTAAAGTGTGCATTTTCTTTCACATATTATGTAAGACATTAACAAAACATATTTCAGCCGAAAAATGTAACACTGTATTCAGGTACTTTTGCAACTGTACTTGCATTTGTACTGAAGGGGTAAAATGGCACAAATGATGTCCCTTTATCCGTAATAGAGGTTATTGGTTTAGATCCCGTAAATATAAAGTTGTCGTTAAACCCGCCACCTCCCGAAACAGCCAACTAGCAAGGTTTGTCACATAAACAAAACGTGCCAACGTGTTACCACTACAGCACACCGCTTGTGTGTTGCAGAGCAAACCCACAACATTGACAACTTGCGACGTCATGGATGTTTACTCTCCCACACACAGGTGTGCTCTACTGGTAACGATTTGGCACGTTTTGTTCACGTGACAAACCTTCACTAATTGGCTGTGTCAGGCGGTGGTGGCGGGTTTAAGGACACATGTATATTCACGCCATCTCACCCAAAAACCTCTATTATGGATTATATTGGTCGCGACAGCCGACCAGGTGTTAAACTGATGTCCTATTTGAATTCTGCACTAATGAATTCTGTACATTTGTTTTTTTTCACTACATTTCAGCATTTTCAAAAACGTTCCGCAAGACTACATCTTCCCAATAATCTGGCTAAATGAGGTAAGGGGATGCATGAACCGGGAGCTTCTACTGTGACTAACATTCACAGTAAAACGAATGTTTTGGCATTTTAATATGACTTAGTTTCAAATCCGTGTCTCAGAAAATGGAACAATTTCTGCACATTTTGCTTTTGACTTGGATAGTTTTACTTTTCCTATTGGGTTGGTTTACCTTTGGAGCAGTGCCGTGAGGTATTAATGGATGGCATGCGATGTTTAAACATCATCGACTGGGCACCGCGGTGGCGAGATGTTAACTCCCTCACCTGGTATACAGGAACTTGTGGGTTCTACCCCGACCCAAACGCCTGCTGTATATTTGGAGTTTGCATGTTCTCCCCGTGGTCTCGTGGATTTTTCTCTGGTTCCTCCGGGTTTTCCCTCCACATTTAGAATCAACATCACGCGTTTAGAGTATTTGGCTGCTCGAAATTTCCACGTGACAAGCCACGTCATTGAGCTATCATTTGTGATCGCCAAGTCGCGTCTGAAAAAGAGCTACATATCTCAGTGGCGCCTTACCTGGTACAATAAAAAAAAAGTGTGAATATTTCTAGACTTGGATTTTGCATGATGCAGTATCAGAAGTCTGCTCTGAGAACAGTTGCCTTGCTGTGTTGGAACCCCACGACAACTTCCTGTTCGGGCCTGGCTTGAGAGGAATTACCACCCACAGCCGAATGAGACTTGTCTTATTTGGTACTACATAGCATGTAAAATTATGAAATAATCCACTTTTTGAACATGACGTATATATCAACGGCTATGCTTTTAACTTGCGTGTCATTATTTTCCACTGTAAAAACAAATTTTAGCCAGACATATATCGCCAAAACAACTTCATTCTCATCCAAAAATATTAATTTCAAGATAAATAAAAACTGCAGTAAAATGTAACAGCATATTATACCATTTTACATGGTCTCTCGACAATGTTGGTTTACCATCAATGTTTTTCAAGCAGCCCTACAATGAATGTGTAGCGTCATTCGGTCGTCATCGCACATTCGTTGTGTTTGACAGCAGGGTGGCACATTGCCTCACGGAAAGAAGCATCTGGGTTCGACTCCTGACTCGGGCACCATTCTGTGTGGAGTTTGTGTTCTCTCCCTGTGTTCTCCGTGGGTTTCCTCTGGGTTTTCCAGTTTCCTCCCATAACCAGAAAAACAGACAAAGCAAACAATGGGACCTGCACATTTGCTCAACTGGGACTGTGAAAACTTGGCCGGACCCTTCTGAAAAAAGAGTCTTGAGACTCGGCGCTGTTTTCCCCGGATAAACAAGCGTAATAATAACAACATTCTAATAATACGGAGTTCGAATTAAGTGTTTATCATGAGTGTTCAGAATCTAACGTGTCTTCTCGTGCTTTGCTACGCTGCCAGACAGGAACGTTGGGCGATGACTCTGCCAAGGCCTTCCGTGAAGCCCTCACCATTCCCATGCATGCGCTCTTCTCTGTGCAAATCACTCTCATGGCCCTGGGCAGCATTGGCATAGTCGTTTCGCCAATCGTCTACTTCTCTGTCAAGTCGTGTAAACGTTAGCCGAGCAATACGTGGAGCGAGTGACAATAGCACAGTGATCACCATGGGAGACAGTGACTTGGGAAAGAGCCATGGTGGTGGTGGTATGTTATCAGTGCATAAAGGGGACAACTTTAACCTTTTCACGCGATGATTTCCAATGCTTCATGTCATTTCTAACACGTTTCGTAATTGTTTTTTTTTTGGCTCAGATTGCGCGAACGAAAAGGTGTGTGTCCTAATCCCTGATCCCACGCAACGCGGTCAAAAGTAATAAATGTGTCACGTTAAAATAACAAAAAAACCACGAGTGAAGGCCCCTACTCAAGATAGTGAGACAGCTCCCCGACATCGCGAACGGTGGTCACTGCTTGCGCACTACAGTCGAGTCCCTCGGGTGACGGTGACGTCCGAGGTTCACGGGGGGGTTTTTTTCGGTTCACGTTTCGCCTCCCATAGGGACCCCCCGGCGTGGTTTCGACTAACGTTGACATTTTGACCAACGGTTTGATTACGCGTTTTGCACGCGTGGTGCCAATTTCGGTCAATCCGAGCGCTCGCAAGTGGGGCTGAGCCATGCCCACAGCGAATCTAGTTCCTCTATTTGACTAACGGTCATTTCTGGTTGAAGGGTCGTTTTCGTGGGACGGATTAAAAACGTTAGCCGAGGGAATACTCTAATAAAGTCGTCACGCTTGTCTGCGTGACGACTTTATTCATTCGCTGTGTCAGCTGGAGGAAAGTTTACGGCACAACGGTGTTGACGCAATCTGGCCCAAACCGTGATTTGTGAATCGCTCTCACGTCACGTCCAACATCCTCGCTGTGAGGATCTGGAGAGGCTCAGCAAAGGATCAGAGATGCACCCCCGGGAAGGAGGAAGTTCGCGGGGGGGTGGGGGGAGGAATGGGAGAGACGCATAATGTGTCAGTTGAAGTTTCTAGGTGGCTGTGTTATATAGTAGACTATATTTGAGATTTTTTTATTCATGTAAATAATCATATTTGATATACTGCATGTTTCGTTCATACTCGAGATAATAATAGAATTTGCGCCCCTCTGAATTGCGTGTTTGGGTTCACCACCTGCCAATGACCGACACGCCATTGTCCTTCGGGACACCTCGTGTGTGGCACATTTCTGGCCTTCTGCCTGTTTTCCACTCGCCACATGTGAGCCGTGCCGGGGCCATGCCGTGCCACCCCATTGT